TCTGAGCAGATTGCTGATTTGAGTGTGCTCTCTGGACTTCTCTTTGTTTCTGTACATTTGCCTCATTATATTTGAGCACTCTACTCTCAGGAACCCATTCATCCCAGCTATTTTTTTTTCAAATATATAATTCAGTATATGGTTCAACTTCATTAGCCCAACAAAAACAGTTATATAAATAAAGCCCACATATAGTTCACACACACTTATGTACAAAAATCTTACTTTTTATTCCAACCAGCATAATGAATAAGATATTTAACTTGTTTCTCCTTGGTAATAGATGACTTTAAACACTTGGCTTCATAAATTAATGGTCCATGAAAACACAGAACTTTTTCTCCTAATATACAAACCATAATATTAATTAAATTCACATTAAATCAAAGATACAAAAAAAATTCAACAGTTAATCTTCACTACAAAAAAAATAAGAAACTGTACCTTCTTGAAATTTACATTTCGGTGGCATTCTTGTATCGTGTATGACGCTTATTGAGCTTATTTTACCTTATGAATTATATATTAAATCAGGCGATAAACAACGACTGAAAATGATTAACTTCTATGAAACACTTTTAAAATAACATTCATCTTTCGACCGTCGAATATTCGGTGTTTACATCAATTGTGTTCTGTGTGTTCTGTGCACAGCATCTTCTGGCCTTAAGGTCGCAGCACAGACTCTTGCATAACGTATAACGTATAGTGCATAAAAGAATCAACCAATTGAAATTCTTCTTTTTCATGAAATGAGAGGAAAAGAAAGATTCTGATTACTTGATTTGCTTATGCATTATGTGTTTATCCATACAAACATTAGGGTATATCCATACAAACTTGCATAGCCACATAAACGTATGCATAAAAAAATTATCGAATCACATTTTACGTTCGTCTATATAGAAGAAATGCGGCTATGCAAGTTTGTATGGATATACTCTTACACGCATTCTATAATAAACCATTAGTCATAAATCAGAAGTTAGAAGCTGGAAATTGATCAATCACAGTTGTCAATTTCCAACTTCTAATTTCTAATTTATAATTAATGGCTTATTGTAGAATGGCCATTAAACGGAAAGCACAGACTCTTGCATAACGTATAACATGTAATGTATAAGAAACTGTATTAATCGAAATCCGTTTCCTTCCTTTTCATGAAATAAAGAACCCTGATTGGTTCAATTTCTTATGCCTCATGTGTTATGCGTTATGTAAGAGTCTGTGCTCCAAACGCCAGTGGCAAAACTGGTTTGCAAAATTTCGATCCGGCAATTTTGATGTTGAAGATGCACCACGTTCTGGAAGGCCAGTTGAAGCTGATGAAGACACAATAAAGGCATTAATTGATGCAAACCGGCGAATAACAACTCGTGAGATCGCTGAGAGATTAAATTTATCGAATTCGACCGTTCATGATCATTTGAAACGCGTCTGATTGAAAATCGTCTTTCATTTTCATAAGAAAAAACTTCGGAAATTACTTTCCGAACAACCTAATAATTGGATAATTTTTGTTATGCATGCGTTTATGCGACTATGCAAGTTGTGTGAGTCCCTAAAGGCACACACTTTTCGTAACAGTTACTATAAGACGTACCATAAGAATCAGCCAATTAGAATTAAGAGTTTAAAAGAATTCTCGACTGTGATTGGCTGATTCTTACAGTACCTCTTAAGGCTTAAACATAATAGACACAAACAATAAAGAACAGGGAATAGGGAATAACAAGCTGTCCAATCAGAGCTCTGAGATATAATATCAAACTTACACACTAGAGGTCTGATTAGACAGCTCGTTATTTACTGTTACCTATGCCTATTGTGTTTAAGTCTTTATAGTTACTGTTAGGGTATAAACACACAACTTGCATAGTCGCATATATATAAACACATTTTACATGTGTTTATATAGAAGAAATGCGATTGGATAATTTTCTTTATGCATACGTTTAGTGGCTATGCAAGTTTGTGTGGATATACCTTTAGGGAAGATGTGTGCCATGGTCTTAAGGGCTGCCACACACAAAATTCCGCAACAGTGACCGTAAGACATGAACTTAAGCCGATAAGTCAATCAGGATATTGCTTTAGGTCTACATAATCTAACGGAAATGGAAATAACAGTTAACTTATCTATAACCTTGCAATATGATGAATTTCAACCGGTTGAAACTCACGTTATGGATAAGTTTACTGTTATTTCTATTTCTGTTAGAATACGTAGATCTAAAGCAGTATCCTAATTGGCTTATTGGCTTAAGTTCACGTCTTATAGTCACTGTTGCAGAATTTTGTGTCCTAATTCCCGTATCAGACTATGGATTGACAAGATTTGTTCGTGTTGCATGCTCTGACATGTTCTAAAATGCTTCTACTATAGCATTTACTCACTATAACGCAGTCATTAAAGTGAGTAAAAGATATAACAAGTGTACATTGGAGCATGTTGAACCATACGACGCGATAAACCTATAATTGCGATTGATCGTTGTTCGATTCTATTTCAGCCAATTACGATGGATTCGCTACATGGACAACCGTCAATCGTAATCATCATAAATTTTATCTGTTAAGTAAATCTGGCAATCCATGCATGTGATTGAATAATCTTGCTACTTATACTCAACAGATAAAATTTATCAAAAGGTGAAACAATCAGCCCATCTGATCAATCTGATACGAGCAATCATATACAAAATAACATAAGCTGCATAAACATATTATAAGACCGCTGGGCCAATAAACATCTTATTCAAATCAATATGGCATCTTTTGTCGGATGATCATTGGTCTAGCGGTTTTGTGTTATGCTTTATGGCCTTTATGACTTTCTACCGAGGGTTTAATCCGGATCAGAATGTAAGAACCAAGCAACTACAGTCCAGCATTTCCCTGTTACGGTTGAACGATCGATTAAACTCTTGATAGAAACTACGACGATTTTGTAAGAGAAATGCAATTGGATAATTTTCTTTGTGCATATGTTTATGCGGCTATGCAAGTTGTGTGGCTATACCCTAAAGCGAGGAGCACCGACTCTTGCATAGCGCATAACACATAATGCATAAGAAAATGAGCCAATCAAAGTCCTTTATTTTCTTCCTTTCCATAAAATAAAGAACTCTGATTGGTTGATTTTCTTATTCTTCATGTTTTATGCGTTATGCAAGAATCTGTGCTCCTCGCTTAAGGGTATATCTACATACATTTTATGTATTATATGTCTTTATAGGAAAAATGCAATTGGATAATTTTCTTTATGCAAACGCGCGCGTTTATGCGGCTATGCAAGTTGTGTGGATATACCCTAAATCCCCAGAGTTGTCGATTGTTTTATGCTTTGCAAAAAGAAAACAATCTTTAATGAGTGATTCTTCCTTTGTTATAGGATTTTATTATACATTGGTCTTCTTTTATTTATTTGAAAATATGGGAAAATATTGGGCGGAAGTATAAAGAAAGTTGGGAAAAAGAGAAGAAATTAAAAAGTAAATTTTAATATAACTCTTTATTTGTTTTTTATGGATAATCCCCTTATTTTTTTCGCATATCTATGGAAAAATAAACAAGAGTGTCTAACTTTCTTTTCTTAAACATCAAGGATGACTCGGTAAAAGCCCAAAATTTAAAATAATTTTTAATAATTTTGTTTTTTTATTATGATTTTTTTTTATTTATAAGGAAATATACGTACAAAATAAAATTTGCATTTTATTTTATTTCCTTACATTATTTTTAAAAAAGGGCGCATTTATCATATTTTGTGACTTGAGCGCGCTCTGTATGCGATTTTACATATTATAATCTGGCAACCCTGACAGTCACTTTGTCCACTTTGTCTTGGCACGATTTTGCACGTTCTCTTGCGGCACGCTGGAATTTTAGCCACCGAATTACTGAGCCAATTTGATATCTGGACGTGGCTCGAGGTATAATTTAAATTTAACAGATTACTTTATGTCAAATCGATTCTCCCTTGATTCAATTGTTAGCTAATCTGACTAATATTACGAAAAATATAAGTCCGTAAATGCATACAAATCCACCGATCAATACTGCACATGAAGTAATATATTGCGCATATATATCTCATCGAAATTTCGAGAAAAGCGATCTGTTGAGTCTAATAATATCTTCAATTTACTGTTTTAATTAAGAGTGATACATACACATATATAGTGAAAATATCTAATTCGACGGTTTTTCAAAATCGATAGCGATTTGGTAATCTGAATATGGTGATGAATGGAGAATAGAAATTTAAACTTTTTTTTTATATAACAGTTTCAGATTTTATAATATTATTCAAGAGAATGAAGCACTTGATTTTAGTTTTTCATTGCATCTACTAATATATATACATGTGTATATATTTAACCTTTAAATAGATAGGTGGAGTAATTAGAGCACTCCAGATTTTATTTTTAGTTATATTTTTGATAGTATAAATTTAGATTAGAGTTAAATTTACATTATTATTATCTTTATGAGATAGAGAAATGTAAAAATAATGAATAACTTAATGATTTGTGGACAATATTTTTTTATTTTCCTTTTTTAGAATAAGGATTTTTAAAATAACTATATAAGAGAGGTGTTTTGGCCACCTTCTTAAAAGGTTAAATATTCTAGAATTCAACATTTTATGATGATTATTTAACTATATAATTTTTATCTATTTAATTTATAACATATACATTCTCTCTCTCTCTCTCTCTCTCTCTCTCTCTCTCTCTCTCTCACTCATGTATACATTATTTCATCTTAATTCAATCTTGGAAAGAGCTGTTTTACAAAGTTACAGTATTTATGAAATATTTAATCTTTGCGTCAGTGTAAAGGATATAAGTATTTGCTTACAAGACAAATTGTGGAAAATTGTAAAAACAAATATAATCAAAGATTTTTATCCATTGAGTCATTCAGAGCATTTTTTGCAAGCTAAATATTAATTAAATGTTTTAACAAAATTAATTGAATATGTCTGAATTTTTAATGGAATAAATGATTTATTTATTCTTAATGACTTGTTGCTCCATTATTATTTTATCATGCATTTACATGCTTGCATGGACTTAGTTGATATTTAGATTCTTCATTACAGGAAGATTTATGCATCAGAATGTCAACGTTTGTTGGGCTTATCAAAGAAATACCAGGCATCTCGGTGGATCGTTTTGATCGAGAAAACATAAATTCCTCTGTGTATTTCCTTAGCCATTGTCATATTGATCATATGTGTGGCTTGGGCACTACGTTTTTTGATCACTTGAAACAGTATAATAAGTATCTTTATTGTAGTCGTATTACTAAAGTTTTCTTAGAAGATAAGTATTATGAAAACCTGCGTAATGTAGAAACTTATGTAAAAGATATCGAAGTCGATAAAAAAGTTTGTATTGAATATAGAAGTAATTATAACAGCGAAGAGACTGATATTCTTTTTGTAACGTTTATTTCTGCTGGACATTGTCCTGGTTCGGTGATGTTTGCTTTTGAGAAAATGGATAAATTAATATTATATACTGGAGATTTTAGAATCAATCCAAAAGATTATCATAAAATAAAATCACTGAATTATTGCGATGATTTTCCCAAAAAATTTGATAATGTGTATTTAGATACAACATTTTTAAGTCATGATTTCATTCATCTCCCAACAAGAATAGAAAGTATAAATGTAATGTGTAAAGTTGTGAAAAAATGGCTAGATGAAAGCCCAAGGAAAGTCGTTATTCTGGAATGTTCTGCTTTATATGGCTCTGAGTTTCTCTACATGGAGCTGTCGAAATCTTTGAAAACACTCATTCATGTTAAGGAATATGTATACAACAGTTATATTCGTATCCCAGAGTTGGCATGTCATGTTACAAATAATCCACTGGATGCACGTATACATGCATGTATGAGTAAAAATGCATGTAGATATCGCTCAGGTTTAAAATGTCGTACCAATGTCCTTCAGCAGGACATATTAACTATTGTGCCATCAGTACTAAAGTGGAAGGGACGTGATACGAGTGTAGTTGGAGAATGGGATAAGTTTAATGAGAAGACGTTTAATGTATGTTACTCCACGCATGCTTCTTTTGATGAACTTAAGAAATTTATACAATATTTTAAACCAAAAAAGATATATCCGTGTGTATGTCCAGAAAACGAACAAGCTACAATAAATCGGTTGCTAGATGAAATTAGAAGATAAAATAAGGGCAATGTACTTTTACATTATAAAAAAAAAGATATGTTCTTAAGTACAAAGTTATAAATAACGGACTAATATCCTAATAATAATGACGATTCTTAAAATTAAGAATTAAAAAGAAAATTAATAGATAATTTTTAATGGTAATTTAATTAACACTTGAACTGCAGGTTTAAATTAACTCAATTACGATTCAAAGTAAATCTAGTTTTTTACAAGGAAGGATTGTCACCATAAAAATAAAATTACTTGTAATTAATTATAATTATGAAAAGTCACAAAAATCTAAAGCTCCACGTGCAAATTTAAATAAACAGAAACACTATCAGATGAGTCAAAAGTGACATAGCCGTGATTTAGTATTAATGATTACATTAGTCTTATAATTACGTATTATTATATGATATATATTATTGTTATGTTTGAGATAAAAAATTGTACTTTTATATAATAAAATATAATGAATGTTATAATTCATGATATCCTTATTCTTAACTGATTCTTGTACGCAATAAAGCTATGATCAGAGACTAGAAATTGAAATTAGATTAGGATTTACTCAATCAAAAGAAAGTCAATTTCAAGTTTAGTGAACTTTGTTTAAATTGGTTAAATTTTAATTCAATCTTAATCTCAATTTTTAGTCACGGTTCAAAGAAAAACCGTATTTATGCATGTAGAATCTTTTTTTATCCTACTTCTCTTGTCTTGTTTGCAGAAATTCATAGCATTTTTGCTTCATTCAGAGTAAAATACCGAAAAGATGACAACCGCTACAATAGCAACCGCTGCACTAGCTAAAGAAAAGGTATGGTTTGATAAGCCATCCTACGACAAAGCAGAACGGCAGTATTTTGAGAAAATGGCCAAGGTAAGGAATTATTGTTGCTGCGATCATCCACTGCTCAATAAATAAAGAGAGTTGTCGGCAGGGAAATGGGATAGAATAAAAATGTTTAAACATATAGATCATTGGGTAAATCGTTTGTCTTTAATAATCATGAATTTTAAGTAACACCAAGATTTTTTTAAAATCCATATCCTTTGAGAAAGTATAATATATTCATAATTTACCAAGTGAATTTACTAGTCCTAATCATAGCATCCATAGCTAGTGCCGCCTAGTATCATTCTCCTATGTTTGTGTATGCATCATGTTTGTGTTACTGTATAACTTACTAACATTTCTAACACACAAATACGCGGGAATATCTGGTGATAACAAAATTAGCTTTGCTCTCTTTCTCTCTTCATACTTCACACAAGGTATCTATAACATTTTTGTACAATGAGAAATGTAAAATTCTTTCTCAGTGTAATCTCAAGTTTTTTTCTACATTTTTAAGGTGAACTGATAAAATAGTATTGTAATCTTTTGATATTGTAAGTCACATTTTTTTCATATCTTTTGGTGTAAAATTCAAGCATTATACAAGTCTAATGTTTATATGCCAACATATTTAAACACTTTACATGATTACATAAACGTGTTTAATTATATTACATGTTAAGTAGCAGTTATACGTATCGATTGCACAAAAGAAACGATTTTGTTTTTGCTTCTTGTGTTATTTGGAAAACGTTGACCTATACTTGCATAGCTTGGAACATGTTTCAAGGTGGTGTCTCGTAAGATTGCGGGAGGCTGCACGCTTAAGTCTGACAATTCTATAACTGACAAGTGCCAAGATCTAATCAATACTAATACATTGAAATCTAAGGCTGAAAAATCTAAAGACAACAAGTTAGCTCATGAGTCGAATGAAACGAATATGAAACGTTCTAAATACCAAGGAAAGAATGCAAAAGCCATCAATAAAGATACTGTGGATGTGTGTAACATGCAGAATAAAGAAAACGCAAAAACATGTGAAAAATTTGATTGCATGAGGGATAACGCGAAGGAGAAGGAGAATGCTTCTCCGAGCGAGAAATCTAAAAAATATAATGCGAAAGAAGCTAAAGAGAAAAGGAACAAGGAAGATACGAGAAATAAAAATAGGGGAAATGGAGGAATCGATCTCAGGGAAAATAAAGAAACTGCAGTGCCATTTGCAAGGAATAAAGAACAATTGCCCGACCAGGTACATGCTCTAATGCAATCTGTGGGTTACTGTTCAGTGTATCTCGATACGACATAGACAAATTGTATTTTCAGTTGACTTTATGTTAATTTTATTTCATATTATATTGTCATATAGAAAAACGCGTCTATTACATTTTGCAATTAAAAGAATGGCCGTTTCTTTATCCGATTTTCATTTTGCACTGAGGAGTTTACTGTAACATTCGTACCATTTCGTCGTTCTGTTTGCTACAAATGCATGGCATATGCATGTATCGTCATTAATGATTTAATTATACATTTATAATTGTGACAAAAAGGATTTATTATATTCGCGAAAGGTTTAAAATCTATACATCAGCCTGATTTCATTCACTCCTGGATATCGGCCTCTTCCAACCTTTTTCCATTATACATGGTCTTTGGAAGGAAGGAATTTGACAATAAAATGTCACACTTGCCATATGTGTTGGCGAGTATACATATATCCATTGATATATGGGACCTACAGTTTAACGCCGGATCCAATTGGTGGTTTAAAATCTACATATTTTGATTTAATAATGAAAAGTAATCACAAAGAATAATTCTAATACTTTTGTTGATAAATTTAAATTGATAGATTTAAATTTTTTATTTAAAAACACTTCTCATATTATTAACTTCGAAACAACTTACTTAATAGTATTTATGTCATAACTATTATCATTAAAATGTGTGTAGGATGATACTTTGGAAAAATTGTCTGCTTTCTTTTTTGTGTAGACAATTTTTTTTATATTTGTGTACGTTAGTGAATTTTTAATTGCATGCTTATTTAGTTAATAATTCAACATGTTTTCCGCATTTCTTCCTTTGCAAAAATATGTGCTATATATAATAAAAACGTACTTTAATGATTTGTAAATACTGTTTATTTCTGTAGTATATATTGTACTGCCGCATTTTTATATTAAAAAATATAGTATTATTTCATTTCTTAATACTTCTGCTATAATACGCGCAATGTCTATCTCCACATGTATGCTAGCTTAATAAATATCCAAAAATGTATTTTCAATATCAGTTTTAAAATATTATATTTTTATATTTTCTTAAAAGTAAATATGTGTATGTATATAAATATATATGTCTTTTTTTTATAACATTAATTAATAACATTTAATTAACACTTTTATCAAAGAGTAATGCTTACTTATGTCAATACTCTTAAAGATTGCATTATTTTATTTTTTATTATAAAGGAAAAAGGAATCTTTAAAGAAATATTTTAATATTTTATTTAAATATTTACATGCATCTCTGTGTATATTAGGATCTTTAATTAATATTTTGTTTTGTTAATATTATTATTATAAACTTTAGTGGAGATATGGCATGTAGTTTCGAATAATCAATCTGGGTGTGAGCTTACTTTTAATCTCGGTGGATACAGGCTCAACAGTCCACTTGCCCAATGCCTCCTGTTGGAAGTTTGGCCAATGAGGTTGCGAAGGCTCGGCAGCATATTAAACAGTCTTTACAGTGTGTGAGTACTGCACTCTCTTCGCTCACTCTTTATACAACGTAATTTTCCACAATCCGCTTACTAATTTAACATCTTCATATTATTTAAATCTGTTCTCACATCCCCTTTCATCGCTTCTTAGGTATTTTGAAATATAAAACTAATGTTGCGAATGAAAAATAAAATGAAAAGGATTTTACGTTTGTAAATTAACTATTACTTATTATGTTTTGTTTTCACGTGAAAATATTTATTGTATGTTGCTATATATTAATGTAATAACAATAAATGATTGAGATTAGTTTACTAAAACAGTAATACATTAATTATAAAAACATTATACTTTATTGAATGTTAAAATATCTATGAATAAGACTGCATACAATCAAATTTTTATTTTTTATTTGATCTCACTAATTCTATTACAGTAGGAAATATAATTTTTATAGTATCAAATCATATTTTTTTCATCATATATTTTTATCACATATTTTGCAGATGGATGATATTGCAGCACTTGCTCATACCGCAAATCAAGATATTACTCCTCGTATTGTCAAACTTGAAAAAGAAAATCAGGATCTGCGAAATAGTACGTATATTATGACTATTACAGTATTATGATATATGCAAGTATTAGTTTTTTGTTTCAAGAAGTTCTCTATAATAACCATCAGCAATTAATAATAAAAAGTAATGTGATATTATATTGTTAAGTATATAATTTACTTTTATTACAATTATTATTTCTTTTTTATTTATAATTCTAGTAAATATTTTTATGAAATGTTGGGAATAGCCCAGGCAGCGCGGACGCATTAAGATTGAGAAGAAAAAATGACAATTAAAATTGTGTGAGATCAGAAATCATTTTTATTCTCATAAATCTCTTAAAGGACGTAACTTTGAAATAAAATTTAAAAAAAATTAAAAACTTGAACATTAATATGTCGTTTTAGTTAAAATATAAAAAAAGAGAAACCATCCACTTTGCCGACTCCCATGGGCAAGCGAATTTTCATTATAATCATATACCGAGTAAAGAGGATGGATCATCCGCTTTGCTCCCACCCGTTTTGCCCAAAGGACCTACCTGGCGCGAATTTGGAAAGATTAGAATAAATTAAAGCATTAAGTAAAAAATTTTAACCTTGAATACATGTTTAAAGAGTTCACAGAATTCTTATAAAAAAATCATTCACACAATTGTTAAGGAACAATTACAGATAATTAAGCTATGTACCTAAGGAAAAATCGCAAGAAAACACTCAATTTTCTAAATGTCTCTATTTAGAGACTCATAGCGCAATCTCAAATAGATAAGCAAAAATAAAAGATATTCGCTTTAGGCGTCCATTTTGCCCGGTCTTCTCCTACATATGTAGTATGTACAGCCGGTCACAGAAAGGTTGCAATACTTTTTTTTTTATGGGTTTCGGAATGTAGCTTGCTTATCGATCGATTGGTTCTTATTCATGGATCCACAAATAAGAA